CACACACACACACTGTGTTCACTCTCCACTAGCTGTGTCTTATCTGAGGCCATTAGCAGCAGCACTGGACTATAGCAGCAGGGCCAGGGCTCCAGACTAATGGCTTATTTGTGTTTCCTTAAAAGATCCACACAGAAGTCCTCAGGGAACCAGGCCTACTGGTTATGTCACACATGCAAACATACACACACACAATCATGACCACATATGTACAGTAACTACAGTACAGTACAGTGATATGCAAGTATTCACACATAAAAACTAAACGATTTAGTTCATTTAAAACACATCCAGATATTGTCTCTCGCACACACACACACACACACCTTGCTGACACACACACAAATTGTTGACACATAGACCCTCACAGTTTTCTTATACCCACTTTAGTCTTTTATAGCTTTTCTGAAGTGTTAGAGTAAGCCTCTCTGACCCTCTGACCACTGTTTGAGAGCATTAATAATTCACCAACTTGATGTCTTCAGCCAGGACTGTAAACACACACACACACCACGAAATGCTCTTGAATTCCCCAGAGTGATTTCAAGCCCCGTTCTGATGCTATTGAGCGGAAAGCAAAGGAGATGAAGAAAGCAGAAAGCTTAGTTGCTTCCACTTTGTCACATGAATGAGTGGTTGAACAGTAAGGCACACTGCAGGGCCCGCTCTCATGAAGCAAGGTTAGTGTGTTCCAAGCCAACTTTGAGCTTGTATATTCCTAGACTTTCAGTCTCACGGGGTTAGCTCATCGCCATGGTAACCTTCTCTGTCATCCTGCTTCAGGGAAGGTTAAAGACAGATCAGACAGGATCAAATGAAAATCGGCAATTAACTCTCAGAAATGATTACTTCAACAGAATCCACCCTAAATTATTTTTATTATTAAGAATTTCAAACAGGAAGTTGTTCAGTATAGCTCATAGACCTTTTTCACAGCAGACATTTTAACTTGCCACAGCAGAATTAAATACTGAAATTTCCCAAAGCAAAATAAATGCATACTTTCAGTTTAACTTTGGTGAATTTTGCCCTGAAAACTTGAACTGATAGCAAACTGCTGACTGATAGCAATACTAGCCATATTGACAGAGCTGACCTTTGAGAGAACAAAGGAAAGTCCAAGATGGAGGAATTATTTGCTGTGTTGCATCCATTAACGCCTGAGCTAACAACCTCGCTAACTGACAATTAGCAAACCCTTAGCAAGATCATTAGCTCAGAGAGCCTTCTTTTCCGTCTTTAATAAAACTCTTTAATGAATGAAATGACATACAGTCCAGAGAACAAAATGCCAAAGGGGAGTGTAAACTGGACAGTGCGGAGAAAATAGAAAGAAGCAGTGCCAGCATGCACAATAATCGACATTGGGTGTGTCTGTTTGTGCTTTAGGATTTAACCACTGTGAAGCTGCAGAAAAAAATGATTTATTTTTCTGATTCGAAGCTCAGTACACAAAAGCCTTAAAGCAGTGCCCCCATTGAAAATTAATGGGAGGAAGGGTGTTTTTCTTTGCAGCACCTGTGTTGGTCTGAGTCGGCCCTTAGGCGTGTACACAGGTCTCATCCGACTCTGAGGTCATCTGCTGACTTAATCACATACTGTACTGTGTATACAGCTGTGTACGGTCACTGCCATCACTGCTGCTTTGACACTGATGTATTTAGAGAAAAATCCTAAATGGCTGACATGACACCTGGGCCGTATGTGTAATTGCTCTGACAGGTTCACCCCCTTTTAGGCACAGTAAGCTGCTTATACATATTCAATCATAGTTTAAATTTACTTTTAGTTCTGCAGCAGGTTAAATTTGATTTCACATGACACATTTTAAGAATGGTGATGCAGGCTGGTAAGTCAGTTGTGGTCGTCACTTGCTACAAAAAAACCTCTCCAGATCTACATGAAATCTGATAGGATGATATAGGATTATTCCTCTCAGCCCCTAACATTTTATCTAGCACCACTGTCAAAGTTTCCACTTGACCGACACTTGTCACTGTTATCTCAAAAACTAAATGCAGCTTTTCCATAAAATGTGTGATTACTTTGGTTTGATACTTTGTGTCCCTAAATTATGAATTCTGTTTTGGATGCTCATCTTGACCTTTTCTCAAGTGCCATCATCACGCCAAAACTTTCACTTAAACACAAAAAATTTACTGAGCACATTTGTGCAATTTTGAAGCATAAAAATGGATATGAATAAAAGCATATTGACCACTTCAAGTCTATTTTATGTGTAACTGGATGTTTGGCTATGAGTTCTCACAAGTGACCTACACTGTTCAGTGCCTGAAGAGACTCAGATATTTTTTGCTAGCATTTTCTCACTTTTAGAACATCAGCTGCTTGACATATGGCAAAACGGCATTAGATCTCCATTTTGAAGATATTTTTTGAAGAGCTTAAGTTTGTTTGTTTCTTAAGAACTGTGAATCTAAAACCTACTGGGGCTCAAGATAGTCTGCGGCTTTTCCTCTAAGAATATTGTCACTGCTTTTCAATTTCAACCTCCATGATGAAGTGCCAGTGATTACAAGCATGTGTGAAAATTGACAATTTCCAGCACTGGTGTCATGATGTGGTCTAAATACTGCGGTAAAAAGCTCAAAATTTCCAGCTTTATACAGCCTTGCTAGGCCATTCACAGAACTGACCAAAGGTGGTGCCCTGGTAAACATCATTAGTTTAGTTACAATGTAACGGTATGATAAGTCTGTATCTCTTTATGAGCTGTGCATTTGTTTCCATGAACTGAAGAGTTTTGCTCTATATTGGGACAATAATTTACATATATGATATTGTATCACAATATTTTATTTTGTGATACTGTATCGACTCTCACTAACACTACATCACTGTATGTTTTTTATACTTTGCCAGTTTTCCTAAAATTGGATTTTTAAAATTAAATCATAATATATCACAATATACTGAATGGTAACAACTGTATTGTGATACGTATCGTATCTCCAGATTCTTGTCAATACACAGCGCTAATGCGACGTAAATAAAACTTTCCTTTTGTTTGACTTTTATTGGCAACTAACTGATTGTCTTTCTCTCCCTCTCTCCTTTCTCTCCTCTCTCTCTGCTGTTGTGGTCCAGTGGGTCGGACAAGGAGCAGTCGGCAGTGGAAGCCAAGGAGGATCCACCAATTCCCTGAAGACACCTCCATCGCCATAGCCACACACGCACACAGACACACACACACACACAAAACACACACACACACACTCACACTCATGCACAGAGCCTCAGGGTGGTAGAATGATGGATGATGGACCTGCAGACTCAAATGTTAAAACATAGAGTACAAGGTGTAACTAACAAGCGACTGCAGTAGTAACATCAGCTAAAAGCCATCACACACACACACACACACTGGTGTGTCAATAGATTGAACAAGGCTTTAGTGTGCTAAAGCTGCCACAAAGGCTAATCCACACCTTTTACTTCCTCTGTCTTCACAACCAAAAAAACACTTAACTACATTCCAACTGAACTACTACAGTACTTTCATTAGTTATTTTATATTAACAGGTTGTACTAACAGGCTGAGAGGTTGAGGTTATCTAACAGGCCAAGCTTTTTTTTGTTTGTTTGTTTATTTTAGCAAATTACAGTTTGTGGACCACTAAAATCATAAGTTTTTAGTTCAATGTGTGAAGCTGTGACTTGTAATTGATGTGAGTGATCAGCTATCATAGAAAAAGTATTAGTTAGACAGGTGAGGTTACAAACAGAGAGGGCATTTCAGATCAAAGTCTCTGCTCTTTTGAACACTTGTATGACTGTCAGACATTCAAACTGCATTGGCTGAGCATTGCCTGAACTCTGTGGCAGCCACAGCAGAACTAAGCATAACAGATTTTCTAATTGTAAACCTTAGTTTTACTTCGATGGGCAACTTTCTCACAGAAAACTTCCTGGCAAGATGTAACCTGAAGAGGATTTGCTCCAAGAATGTGTAAAGCAGCTAACAGATGACACATAAAGTGATTTATTTATTGCATGTTAAATTGTCATACTTTGTTAACAGGGTGTGGTCAAAATACAGAAAACGCTGATCAGTCTCCAACGTAGTGTCATTACTAATTGTATTACTGGTTTGTTACAATGTGAGCAATATATTTGCAGGGATGGAAAGATGCTGGAAAATAGTAAAAGTACTGTTACTTTAAAGACATTTTACTTAAGTAAAAGTAAAATTATTGTGTAAAAATAGTGACAACCGCAGATTATCAGTTAAAGTAAAGAACTTCCTTCCTCAGTTTAGTCTTACTAGATTTAACCATAAAAGAGAAATAAACTCAAACACCAATCATACACAATACATAGACTGTGGACTCCACTGTGGACACTTCTTATTGAATTAGCAGCAGAATAAAGGATAACTAACAGGGTGTGAACTACAGGGGCTATTAAGACATGATAATAAGACACGATTTATGAAATTTGGGGGGTCTCTAAAATATTGACAATGTGCCATTTTTGCTCTGCATTTCTCTTCTTGTGTATCTTTATGATCATGGATTGTGTGTAAAATTAGGCTATTTCTGATGTATGTTTGTGATTATTATATTTCAAATGTGCTGACATAAAGCAAGTAGGGCTACATAATTGTACCCCCCCTGAAGAGACCCAGAAACAACCAGTCTTCTTATGCTGCTGGTCTACCTGGCACCAAGTTGTATGTGTTTTAGTTTAGGCAATTTGAATAAACACAGTGTTTGGAATATGTACCATGTTAACACAAAATAAGCTAAAATAACTCATAATAATTAAGATTTTAAAACAGTGCCCATCTGCAGGACGAGGCCAAAATATGGTGGATTTCTACTTAAAGCAGCCTTAGGTCTAGCAAGCATTTGCCTATTTACACATCCAGCAGACACGGAGCAGGAGCATTCATCTGCAGTCGTGTTTCTGGCCATCTGATGAATGAAAGTCTAGTATTTGCTCTCTTTCTAGCTCTCTGTCTTTGGTCTTTGCCAATTCTTAAGGGACGCCTCTTTAGTGGCTAAATGCTCCACTCCACTGCAAATAAAGTGGTTTAGATATTCTGGATAAACCGTCGGCTCATTAGTCTGACTGCTTGATTTTTTGCAATGTCGACATGTTTCCAGATCTCAGCAAGTATTTTGGGGAATACACTGTTATCATATCACATCATTAAGACATTTCCCCCCTGTCAGTATTTCTGATTCTGATTCTGATTCTGATAACTAATTTAAGTGATGGACAAAACTATAGGAATGTTTTATGTTTTATGACCAACATCATTCTTATCAAACTAGTGGGTAAATACTAGGGATTGACCAATATGTTAGTTTCAGGAGCGATACAGATATTGATTAGTAAGTTGTACTTACTCGAGTATTTCCATTTCCCCGTATGTGGTACAGCAGCCTGCAGTGTCAATAGGCTATTACTTGTAAAGTGTCAGATATTGAGTGAGACTACAGACAGACAAACAGACAGACAGACAGGCTACATCAGAATGAAAGCAGCACATTTTAAAATTAATTTATTTTCATGGAATAAAATAAATAATGATTCCGATATTCTGAAAAATGTTGAATATTGGACCAATAATTGGCCAGGCTGATAATAGTAATAAGTACTGGTGCCTTTTTGATGGGGGCTTGTCACTGTAAAAGGTTCCCATTTAGAAAAAAGTCCAATTAATAATACAGATGATCACTCATTAGTGATTACTGTTAGCTTTGCCATGAAATGAGTATCTTGATTGTTTCTATACTGACACACTTGCAGCAGCCCTATTGGACTTACATGTTTTTTTTCCTTCAATTTTAGACCACACCCTGTGGTTGTTTTAATAAGCCAGTGTTTTTTGAAATTCAAATTAATACCAGTATTGTTTATGTCTTTGTATTGGACACTGTCACAAATAACAATTTCTTCTGTGTTTGTAGGTACAATGCATGCATCATTTTTCTGTGAGTCATTTTTAATCTCTCCTCTGTTGTGAGATACTAATCAAACTGTAAACACAAGATGTATTATGAAGCTAAAGCAGAGTGTGTAAATTGTCCATTCAGATGTTATTAATAAATATTTCTATTATATATATATATATATATATAGCATGGATTGATTTATGGGGAGTGTAACCTACACAAGGAAAATGTTTCAGAGAGAGTCAGAGGGATTGAATGAGACAGACACACATACACCCCTCAGGCTTTCACCCCTCCACCTCACACCTGTGCTGTGAGCCCTCCCAAAAGACCGCTGTGATTGAAAGACCTATGAAGAGCTTCTGACAACACACACGCACACTTTCTGTGTCACACACACACACACCTTCACTGAGGCCAATACAGAGGTAAGACCTCACGGTGGCTGAGATGCTGAAAGGCAAAATGTCCACCTGTCTGTGAGTGTGTATGTGGATGGTGTCCCTTGGGTTTTTCCCCCATCACCTATAAAAAACATCAGTTGTTTACAGACAAAACTAGTGTCAAAAGCAGTGGTCGTTCTTGGTGTTTCGGAGACTTTGGGAACACTGACATATCACCTTGTAGAGTTGCAATAGGGAGCATGTTAGCTGATATTTCGCTCTATGTCTTCACCAACACCTTAAAAAGGGTAATATATGGCTTCTTTGCTCCTAAAAGCTCCACTTAGTTCACCGGCTAGTCATTAACTTTGTCCATCTTCTGTTCAGTGCTGGGCAGGTACTGTACAGTGCGGTTTTATGAGACCCTTTTTACTTAAAGCAGCTGCATAGCAAACATTGGTCTGGCTGATTAACAGCCTACACTTGGCCCAGATACGGCAATGAATTTCGGTCCATTTCGGCTAGATCTCACTTATATGTCGTGACCTATGTTTCCTGTTCTGGCCTTATGTTAGATGAGAGTTTCAGCGCTGGTTCTTGTTCTTGTTTAGCTTCGACTAAAACTTAACCAAGACACTTCATTAACACAGACACTTTAAAAATGCTTCCACAACAACAGTATAATGAATAAATATATTATTGATTTTTCGCATCACACCGTTTGCAAAACTCTAAAATGTCATTAGTCAAACAGTCTGTCTTCCTCTCCTCCCCTGTCAGCACTGCATGTGTAGTTATGTTTAGACATATCGTTAAATGAAGAAAGTTAGCCAGTAAACACTAGAACTGAATACTGAAGCCTTGTAAACGAAAGAGAGTGCTGAAACTTGTCTGGTCCAACACAGGACTAGAACAGGGCCAGCTATGGTCATACAGTTGGCTGGGATATGGCTATGTCATGGGCTACCTGATCTCCTACATATGGACTGTAGTTCATTTCTGTATTTGGGGCAGAGCAATTTTGCTCTGTGGGTGCCTGCTGCAGCTGGAAACACCAATAATGAGAGTGGTGATAAACAGAAAAGTTGTGGCTCATGAAATGGTAGAAATTTTTTTCTCAATGCAATGCAGAGCTATTCACTTGTATTATTAAAGAAAATACTATATCAATATTAGGTTTTGGTTTAGGATTTGGTATCAGCAGATATTAATTGGGAATGAGGGGCAAAAAGAATTTGATTGGGGGCATGGTGTCGTGACATCCCTAGCTAAAAATACTCAGTACAGTTGGTGGTGGTTATTTTGCTTGCTGCAATACACTCCTCATGTCCTCAAACTTATGCACCTGCGTCTGTCACTCCTGGACTCGTGTGCCTTTGCAGGTGTCTCATTTCTAGTCTCTCAGATATATTGCTACCAGCAGCTGCAGCACAATCTGGAGGTTACAACCATATCATCATCAAGTTTCTCCAAGTAGCGTTCACATTTTCTATGATGGTAACCTGTTTTCCACAGCAACTAAAGGTGAGTTAGTGAACTTTTTTGGGTATCTTTCTCCGTGTGTGGATCCTGATGGTGAGGCTTTTGTCTACCTATTTTGGCCACAGGTTTTCCAACTTATGGCCACATCTGTGGCCATAACATTTCCCTGTAGGCCCACGTGTAGGATTTAGTGGCATCTAGTGTGTAGTTACAGACCCCCACTTCACCCTCCCCTTCCAAGCATGATGGAGAAACTATGGTGGTCACAAAACACACAGAAATATGAACGGGCCAATCTATAGCAAGTGTTTGGTTTGTCCCCTCTGGGCTTCTGTAGAAACATGGCAGACTGTATGAAAGAGGGCCCACTATCTCTGTAGATAAAAACAGCTCATTCTAAGTTCACGAAAACACCACAATTCTTATTTTCAGGTGATTACACATTAATGAAAACATAGTTATGCAAATTAAATTAAATTTCTGCCAATAGATCCTCCTAAATGTTACACACACTGGTACTCACATTTACATTTACACAACTTTACGAAACGACTAACAAGCATGTCCAGTTAACGCAGCGATAAAAATATAGTTAGTATATAGGTTTTTAACTTCACTGTCACTTTTCACAGGTACACATTTACTGGAAAAGACTATGTACTGATTGCATTTCACCCCTCTCTATGCCCCACCTTAGAGTTCAGAACAGCTACAAACACTCTGGATGCAGCTGAGATCAACAACAGTCACTTTAATGGACTATAACTTATACTCTCACTGCTCTGTTAGGGTTAAAGAAAGGTCAATGTCATGGTTAACAGGAACCATCACTGTTCCAGGAAGCACATTTCCATTTCTAATATCAATCAGATTTTTCTTGTGACAGAGGACAACCATTAATCATCAGACCACACAAGGAAGAAAAAACATCTATGCTGTCCTTTTCTGGTGAGGTCACTTTCAAAGTTCTCAGTCAACTCAGGGCTGCACAATTAATCACAACAGCAATCACAATCTTATCTTGCAATCATGAATCTCTACTTCTAGACAGTCTGTTCTGCTGCATCCAACCAAGCGCTCCCTACTTACAGGTAAACTGTGTTGTCTGACCAATGGCAGCCATTTGTTTTCAACCCAATCTGATTAGTAGTCTGAGCTTCACGAACCGCTGCAGCCGAAAGCAACCTGAACTAACTGAGTTACAGATCATTAGTGCCGCACACAAGTTCACTCATACACCCACACCTTCCTGGGATGACTGCATTTTGACAAATATCTATCTTTACTCGACCTGATAGTGTTGTTCAAGACCATGAAACATTTAGGACTGATTAGTGATGGGTCGGTTGCGAA